CCGTGGGAAAATTGCAGCTGAATAAAACTGGCGGGAGCAGAGGATTTGGACAGCAGCACGTGGAGACTGGGGACGTGTTCAACTCCTGCCCCTCACCGGGATCTCAGGGTCTGAGGGAGGAGCACAAACTTCAAGAAGCAGAGCTGTCCTCGCTCTGATCTTCTGCCTTTGATTTTTCATAATCACGCCAGATCTGCAGGTGCTTTTTGCCTCCAGAGGGATCGGGGAAAGGATCGGGTTTGAGAGGGGAAGGGAAGGGTCCGATCCGGAGTTGCGGGATAGCCCTGGCTCCCAAACGGGGCTCAGCCCCTCGCGGAGGGGACAAGGGAGGTGGCCGGAGGGACAAACCCCAGGATCAGCCCCGGAGCGGGTGCCCGCACACTCCGAGTTTGATCCATTTGCCGATAAAGCGCGGCCCCGCGGTCCCCCCGCCCGGGCCGGGTGCGCCGGGAGCGCGCACACAGCGCATCTGCCCGCGCACGGACGCGCGGGGCTCCGGCCGCCCCGTCGCAGCGCTGCCCGGCCCGGGGGGCCAGGGGAAGGTTTGGCCTCGGAGTCTGGTTGCGCCGCGTCCTCTCAGCCCGTCAGAGACTCCCCTCAGCCCCCACTGCCCGCCGGGAGCGGTGGGGACGCGCAGGAGCCCCCGCAGCCGCTGCCCCCCGACGGGCGCGGGGTCCCGCCGCGGGAGCCCCCGCAGTCACCCCCCGGGGCGGGAGGGGCGCGTCCCGCACCCGGCCCGGCCCCCGCCCGCGGGCTCGGGCTGACCCGGGGGAGCGTTTCGTTGTCGCAAAACCAACGAACGAACGAACAACGACCGAAAAAAACCCCAAACCACGAAGGCAAACGAACCGCCGGCCCTAAAGGGGCCCCGGCCCCGCGGGGGTCCCCGTCGGCTCCGCACCCCGAGGCAGCGCTTCCGAGGGGCGGGGGCCGGGCGGGAGCCGCGCACTCCCGGGGCACCGGCCCGGGGAGAGGGGAGAGGGTGTCCCGGCTCCTGCCGTCGGGGCCGGGGCCGCGGCCGTCGCGCTGCCCCGGGACGGTTTGCCAGGGGGTCACCGCGCACCGCGGGACGGGGTCGGGACGAGGGGCCGCGGGAACGGGCGGGTACTTACAGGCGAGGGCGGCGGGGCCGCTCGGAGCCGCTCCGGCGCTGCCCCGGGGCGGCCGGGCTTAAGAGCCGTCGGGCGGGCGCAGGACAATGGCCGGGAGGAGGGGGCCGGGGCCGGGGGGCGGCGGGAGGCGGGGAGGGGCCGGGGCCGCCCGCCGCCGCTCCGCCCCCCCGCGTCTGGCGTAAACCCGGCTCCGGGCTAAAAGAACCGGCGAGCTACCGGCGCCCGGGGCTGGTGGCCGCCGCGGACGGCTCGCCGGTGCCGGCGGCAGCGCCCGGCCCGGCCAGGCCCGCCCCGTCGCGTCCCGTCCCGCCCCGCCGCGCCATGTCGCTGAGCCCCAAGCACACGACGCCCTTCTCGGTCACCGACATCCTGAGCCCGATGGAGGAGAGCTACAAGAAGTTCGGCGGCATGGACGGGGCGGGCGGGCTGGGCGCGCCCCTCGGGCCCTACCGCCAGGCGCCCGTGCCCCCCGCGGCCGCCGCCGTCCCGCAGCACGTCCCGGCGGGGGCGGCCGCCTACCACATGCCCCACGGCGTCTCGCAGTTCCCGCACGGCGCCGTCGGGGGCTACTGCAACGGCGGGCTGGGCAACGTGGGCGAGCTGCCCGCCTACCCCGAGGGGATGCGGGGCGGCGCGGCGGCGGGCGGCGGCTGGTACGGGGCCGGCGGGGACCCCCGCTACTCCAGCAGTAAGTGCGGGCGCGGGGCGGCGCGGAGGGGGGCGCGGCGGCGGCGGCGGGGGGCGGGCGGGGGAAGCCGCGGCCCCGACGGGGCGGCCGCCGGCGCTGAGCCGCCTCTCCCGCTGCAGTCTCCAGGTTCATGGGCCCGTCGGCCGGGATGAACGTGGCCGGGATGGGCGGCCTGAGCGGCATCGCCGAGGGCGCCAAGGCCATCGTGCCGCTCCACGCGGCCCCGCGGAGGAAGAGGAGGGTGCTCTTCTCCCAGGCGCAGGTCTACGAGCTGGAGCGGCGCTTCAAGCAGCAGAAGTACCTGTCGGCGCCCGAGCGGGAGCACCTGGCCAGCCTGATCCACCTCACCCCCACCCAGGTGAAGATCTGGTTCCAGAACCACCGCTACAAGATGAAGCGCCAGGCCAAGGACAAGGCGGCCGCCCAGCAGTTGCACCCCGACGGCGGCCTCTGCCAGCAGCCCTCGCCGCGCCGCGTGGCCGTGCCGGTGCTGGTGAAGGACGGCAAACCCTGCCCGCCGCCGGGCAGCGGCACCCCGGGCCCCGGGCAGGCCGCCCCCGCGCCCCCCGCCGCCGCCCCCGCCGCCCCTGCCGCTCACCCGCACCCCGGCTCGCTGGGGCAGGCGGCCGACCTGGAGGAGCTGTCGCCCAGCCCGCCGGCGCTGCACGGCCCCGTGCCCCCCCTCGCCCCCCTGGACTCGGCCGGCGCCGACTACAACGGCGGCATGGTCAGCCCCAACCTGCTCTACGGCAGGACGTGGTAATCGGTGTGTCCCGCGTGTGCCCCCCCGCGACCCCCCGGGCCCTCCGAGACCGGACCCGCCGGCCCAGTGCCTGCGGGGACCCCGACGGACGCCCGCGGGCCCCCGCGCTCCCTTCTCTCCGGCCCTTTCCCGTCCTTCCTTCTGTTTTTTTTTTTTTTTAAAGCCTCTCCGGTTTTTTTGGATAAACGGCCCCGACGGCAGCCCCGCGGCGGGGCCGAGTGCGCGTCCACGCGTGTGTGTGTGAATGTGTGAGTGCGCGGAGGGTGTGCGTGTCCACGTGTGTGCGTGGAGGGTCTGTGTGCGCGCGTGGTCCTGGATCCGCGTCCCGTCCGCGCCGCCGCATCCCGCCCGGGCGCGCCCCAGACGGGGCGAGGGGAGCCGGGGGACCGCGGGGCTCCGCTCCCGGCCCGGCCCCGCTGTTCCGCGGCAGCCCCGGGGCACCCGGAGGCCCCGGCGTGTCCCGTCACAGCCCCGCTGAGCGCCACAATAAACCTTCTGAAGCGCAACTTATCTCGGCAGAATTAATTTCGCGGGGGGTGCCCCGAAGTGCGATTCCGCTCTTGTCCCGATCGGAGGTAAATTGAGTCGCGACTCGAGAGGCGGCGGCGGCGGCGGCGGGAGCCGTGGCAGAAGAGCCCTGGAACGCCGGCGCTCAGATTTTCTGAGGGGAAAAAAACCGTTTTTCTCGTTGTCGTTGTTAAATATCGCTCAGTAAATGAATGAATGACCGCGCGTGGACGGGGCGCGCGTCCCGCGGAACCGCCGCGACCCCCGGCCCTTCGCTCCACTCCCGACGAGCTCGGAGACCCGCGGAGATGACGGAGAGCCCGGGGATTCCCGGGGCTGGACCCCGCTTCCCGCCGGGATGGAGGGCGGGGGATCGGGCCCCGCAGCGCCGGGGCCGCCGGGCCGGAGGATGCGCCACGGCACAGCGGGGTTTGTCCCCGCGCCTCTTCCCGGGAAAATCCCGCGCGTCGGGAAACACTTCTCGGGGAGTTTCCGGCAATTTTTCTTTCTTTTATTTTTTTTTAATTTTAATTTTAATTTTATTTTTAACAATAAAAGGAAGCCTTGTTCTCACGAGTCGTGCTGCTTCGTTCTCGGTGTACGGACTGATGGGCGACACCAAAAGCCCCTTCCTTCCGCCTCCCTCTCAGGCTCCAAGGATTTAATTCCGCGCCCTCCCTGCCCGGCTGCCCCATCCTCGGGGGACCCGCTGGACCCCGGGCAGGGGCTCTCCAGCCCTGGCAGTGCCAGAGCCCGCGCCGCTCCCGGCTGTGCCGTGAGGGAACGATTCTGGGGTGGAAAACAGGGATTTCAGCCTCTGCCAGACCCGGACCCCTTCCCAAGGCCCACGCGGGAGCCGGGAGGGGAAGTGGGGCATTCTCCCGGGTGAGGAGCTGCAGGGACCCCCCTTCCCCTCACGGCAGATGCCACTTGGGGACCACCAAGGCTCCCTCCCTTTCCATAAGGGAGTGCTTCTCTCCACTGGATCCCACGGGGGACAGCTCGGAGCATCTGGGGTGGCTCTGAGCCCGGAGGGGTGAGTGATTTCCCCCTCCAACCCTGTCAAATCCAAGGGGATGTGCCAGGCTCAGCTCCAGCTTGGAAAAAAAAAAAATCTCTCTAGGTAGAGTAGCTTCGGGAGCTCCACGGGGATGCTGTCCCAAAGCCACCGAGGGGGGATGCTCCACGGTCAGGCCCTGCATCCCATCCCCGGGCCATGGAGCCCAGGAACCGAACCCTCTGGGAGAGCACGTTGCTCCAGGCATCGCTCCCAGGGCCCAGGACGACATCCCGGGTTCATCCCACCTTGGGCACGCGGCCGACCCACCCCGCTCCTTCCTCCACCCCACTCCCACGAAAACTCACCCTCGCTGCTGGTTTTGTCCCGCTCAAAAAGCGAAACGACTTTTTTTTTTTTTTTTTTTTGAGCCCCAAATCTTTTCCCATCCGAGGGAGAAGGGCCGTGGGGAGGGCTGCTGACGGGTCCGGGCTCCCGGAATGCTGCATCACAATGAAGGATTCTGCTCCACCCTTAATCACTCGAAAATAATGAATCCAGTTTGATGATTCCTTCCTCCCCGGTCTGTCTGGGCTTTTCCCTGGTTGCTGGTGATTAACACCTGAGCCCTGGAAGAAAGGAGCACCGAGCCCTGTGGCATCGGGGCGCAAGAGCAGTGCTGGGAAGTTTTACTGATTTACACAACACATGTATTTAAGGGAAAATATCCGAAGGGAAAGCTGAACTGGATGCTCTCCTCATTTCTTTTTTTTGTCGTTTGTTTGTTTTGTTGCTTAAACAAATGTTTTCAATGCTAAGATAGAGGCCGGGTGGAATTATTTTCCAAGAATTCAGCATAAACGCGCGCGCGCAAGTAAAAGATACAGTAAAAAACAGGGCCTGGAGGGGGTTTGAAAATTAACCACACACTGCTGCTCAGAATTTCAAAAGCCACTTTATAAAGCAAATAAAAATATTTACCGATTTGGTACACTCACACAGAAAAAATCCCTAGAAAGAGGTGCTAAAAACGAATGGAATCTCCGCCCTCCACGGCTATTTTAAATTAGGTATCAAACAAGACAAATCCACCTCCCCTGCTTGGTTGTGCCCCCAGTAACCAAGCCAGAAACAGGCAGGCGGTGTAGAAGTCGAAATGTTTTACTTCTGAGTCCCAAAAAAATCCACCACTGGAGGAATATCCGAGCAGGAGCGGTGAGGGCCGCGTGTTCCAGCGCCGCCGGCCGCGCCCCGGGAGCCCATCAAATCCCAGTTCTGGGCATCCTTGAAAACTCCACGTCTGTTTTCAGGCTCTCGTGAGTGGAGCAGGGGATGTTTGGAGTCCGGAGCGACGGGCACAGCTTGGATAGGTGAGGAAGATGGGACAGCACCCCCACCTCCTCCAGCGGCTCCGCGACCCGCCGCTTCCCGGCCACACGGCCCCCTCCCAAAAATTCATCAGCCTCAGGTCCATAAGAAATGTGCACATTTAAAACAAGTTTAAAAACTACAGGGATGGTGCTTAACAGTTTCGTCGATTTCTTTTTTTTTTTTTCCCCTCTCTCCCCCCCACAAATAATAGAAAGAACAAAAAGCAGAAAAAAATCCGGACGTTCCCTATATTTAATAAGGAAAAAAAAAATAGGAGCCAGGAGCTAATTCCAGCTGTACCTTCCTGCAGGAGGAGGGAGCGGGTAGGGCCTCCCAGGGCCGTACGCCTGCAAGCAAACAAACAAAAGCAAGCATTTATTTTTTGGATTAACACCACGAGTAAACAAGTTTGGGAGAGCTCGAGGCGCCACTCGGGACTGGAACAATGCACCCTCCACATCCTCTGCACAGAGAGGTACCAAAAACCCCCCTCCACCACGGACACAGGGCTGGACATCCAACAGCTCTCCCAAGGAACACGGGCAGGGCTGAACGGGAAACAAATCCACCCAAAGCCAAGGGACTTCCCAGCAGTGACACCCCTGGGTGTGCTTTGCTTTCAGAGCCCCAGGCAGAGAGTAGCAAGTGGGGTGTCTCACACTCAGGGCAGACAAACACAGCTTCTTTTTTTTTTTTTTCCCCTTAAAATACTTACGTGTACGAAAGTGTTTTAAGGGAAAAAAAATGAGAACTGTATTTTTTTACAGAAGCGGCGTCTTCCATACTCATTCAGACTTTAATAGTAGGCCAAAGAGACCTAAATCCCACTCTGGAAATCACTCCTAAATGAGATTTATTTTTGCACTTAAATTTAGGCATTTGAGGCATCAACTATCAAGTGAAAAACCCACTGGAAAATTTCCTAGAATCGCCGGGAAGCATTTTAAATAATTTCCAAACCTGACATATTGCAGAGACCAGAAAGTAAATATGGTGCACCAACACCAGTGACAGGCTTTGTCTGCCCCTCACTTGGGGTGTTTTTGGTGAGGAGGGGAAGAGGGGCTGCCTTTCCTCTCTTCCAAAGAGAAATCCATCTTTACCCCAGCCTGCGGCAGCCGAGACATCCACGGGAACCGCGGAGCCGGCGACCGAACCCGCCAGGAGAATCCCTGCAGCCTGCACGGGGAGGGAACCTTGGAGGTTTGTTCCTAGGCTTGATTGCAGGCAATTAGAAAAGGAAACAAGTTGGCTACATCCCTTGGAAAAAAAAATCCTTGGAAGCCAGCAGCAGTCCCTGTGCAGAGGGACAATGCCAAGGCCCGGGAGAGTCGCGGGCGACACCGATCCGGGCGCTCCGTTGTGTGCTGGAATAAAAATGCCCCCCCCCAACACCTGCACAGCACCACCAAGTTTATTCTTTGGTTTTCTGGGAGAGCTGGAAGGCCCCAAAGCCCCACTCCCACGGAGCCCCCCGGATCCATGGCAGCTGCATTAATTTTGTAAGCACTCTGCCGGCAGCGCGTTTATTAACCTCTTCAGGCCGCGTTCTGCGCGCTGTAAAAAAAGAATTCAGAGGTGAAAGGGCCCAAAGATAATTATTTATGCTGCTACGTGTCACCACTTCCACTTGAATCCCTTTTCAAGGCTTTAAAGCTTTGAAATTTGCAGGCGGCAAGGCCGGATTCAATGATTGGGTTGGCACCCGAAAGCCTTTCAGGTACCTTCTCATTTCGCTCCAGCCCCGAGGAAATAATGACATTGGAAAGTTCATTTAAAAATAACAACAACAACAACAACGACAAAAAAAAGGCAACAAAAATCTAAGGGGAGATAAAAAACGGTTGGAAAGCGACACGCTGCAAAGGGAATCTTTAAGGAAGTAAATTTACTGGAGCTGAAAGATTTGTCCTTAACACCCACCATGTGTGGGTACAAATAAAAGGGTTGTCACCACCCGGTTCTAACACTCCCTGCACCAGCAGACGGGTCTGTGCCAGTGCCAGGGGAATTCTGGTTTGGCCAAGAGCACAGTATGATCCAGGCTGTGGGTGCCACGAGGCTCCAGGACAGCTTTCCAAGAGGGAACTAAGCAGGGATGCCCTTCCCAACCCTTCTGGAAGGCTGTTCCTGCTCACCCTCGTGGCTCCAGCTGTGGCTGTCGGGCACTGAGATTTGAGGTTGGGAATGAACAAATGGGAATGAGCAAACACAGCCCCACATGTTGCCCAGGACAGAGGGCAGGGCAGAGTGTGCAGGCAGGCACACTTGTTCAAGGGTCTATTCCCCAGCCCAGCTAAACACTGCCCAGGCTCCACTGGCACCAAGATCCTTCCCTCCATTATCACAGCAGCCCCCGTTATGGATTAGTGCCATCAGGCATTTTTTCCTCTGGCTCTGGTGTTTTGGGTAAACCCGTGCAACCCAAAATGAGAGGCTTTTGAAAACTGATCCTACTGATACACCTCATCCAAATTTAAAACACAAACACCACCGGGGCCTAGTTGGGCAAAGGTTCAAGCCCCACTGCCTCCCCAGTAAGCTCAGTGTGACCATCACACCCATGCTGGTGAGTTCTGCCCCCAGTTAAACCCAGTGCTGGCAGGATTTGTACTGGTACTGCCTCCCCTTTGCTGCTGCTGGGCCAGGTAACACGTGTGTCTCTGCACTGGGGAGGTGGGCAGGCTGAGAGGAGGAAAAAAAAACAAACCTAGGAGTGACTAAAAAGTGACTTGCCTTGAGCTGAGCCAGGCTCCAGGAGAAAGCACGTTTCCAACAGTTTGTGCCTTAGTTTCCAGATAAAATACTGGGCAACTGAGCTGTCACCCAGCAGCTGAGCCCTCCTCCTCCCCAGCACTGAGCAGTAACCCTCCCACAGTTCTGACTTCCCCAAGAGTTTAACCTAGATGCCTGAAATTTATTTTAAATCAGTGTATAGCACTGGAAACACTCAGAGATCTGGAACAGAGATCACATTTTACTGAGAACATTTCCCCCCCCCCCCAAAATTCCCTAAGCAAAGTCACCTGCTACTTTCAGGCAGCACTTTTCACTCTGTGGCATTTTCCTGAACTGCTGACAGAGTCACCTGTAATTCTGGATGAGGTTCTCCCATCATGTTCCCTCGTTTCCATGTAACCACACAGAGCTATTTTCACATGTCCTTTCCCAGACATGTTTATTCCTCGGGCTACATTTGCATTAAGTAGTTTTTCAGCTAAGAGGAAGCCAACAAACACTCGAGGGGAAAAATACAGGAAGTCATAAGAATCCACATTTGAAACACACCGGGGAGAAACCCTTCTGACCCCAAAGGGTGTAGCTGTGGATTCCCTCACAGGAGAGGAAGGCTGGTTGGATTTCTTGCCTTCAGGTGCTGTTTGCTCAGGCTGCAGGGAGAGTGTCTGAGCTGTGCTAATGGCCAGGGTGGTGGTGCAGTCCCAGCACAGACCTCGTGCCAGGGGCACAGCCGGAGGGGCTGGACAAGGCTGGGAAGTCCCCTGGCCCTGCTCTCACTGGGGACACAGTGACACACCAGAACCAGCCCTGGAGTGCCCTCCCACGCCACAGGGAGGAGGACAGAGGGTGTTGTTCCTACCTGTCTGCCCCTGTCCATGCGGTCCTCGGGTCTCTGGGGGTATCCCATGGGCCCCATCCCCTGGTACTGCGCCGGCTGGAACTGGTTGGGGGACTGCAGCATGCGGTTCCAGGCCAGGAGAGGAGCAGCTCCAGCGCCTCTGTGTAAGGGAGAGACACTGCAGGGTGAGCCCAGAGTCCCACAACACGTCCCCCAGGAGTGGATTTGTCTCAGAGCTGAACAGGGTCCCACCCAGCCGTGCCCGCAGCGGGATCACGGGCAGCCAAGCGCCAGAGAGAGACCAGGGAGGGGGGAATATCTCCCCAAATTTCCCTGAAGGCCACCTTTGCTCACAGCTTGAAGCTGCACAGCCAGGCACTGCCGCGAGCAGCAGATCCAGCCCTACAAACCTGGAGGTTTTTCCAATTCCCTGGAAGGTTCCTGCCCACACCCTCTATTCCGGGGGCAGATTTGCCGACTCCCCCGGCTCAAAGCTCAGCTCAAAACCCAGCTCAAAGCCCGGCTGAGGGTTCCCCACCGTCCCAGGAGCAAACATGAGCCACACGGGAGCCGGGGGCTTTCTTTTCTGAGCGCCCAGACTCCTTCTGGGAGCCCCATTCTTCCCGGTTAATTGCAGGTTGCAAATGAATTCTTACGGCGAGCATTCGGAATCTAGGCTAGGGGGCCTTGGCTGCTTTTTCCCATCCATTATTCTGCTCAATATGTCAGGAGGTCTGATCGGGAAGAAACCTTTTCAAGTTCTATTGATGCTGCTTTCAATTGACCACGGTGACCTAGCAACATAAGCACTAATTGGCACGGGCTGACTGACATTTGGTGTACAGTTCAGATGGGAACGCAGACCCCACGTCCATTATAACCCAGTTTGCCAGGCCAGATTACCAACAGTAAGAAATGTTTTCATTGCCTTCAAGTGCCTATTTTGGCATTACAATTATAAAGCAACAGGTATAACACGTCAAATATCATTTGATTAAAAAATATTTAAAAAAAAATATGCTTTAGGCATGATCTGGTTGTTAGAGCTGAGCAAGGGTGAGGGACAACCCCTCACAGAATGCAGGGGTTCTGCAGGACAGGATCATCTTGTAAAGGAAAAACAGGGATAGTGGAGACAGTTCATCTTTCCTGACCCCCCTTGATGAGGGAGTCGACAGAGGCAGGCCTGGTGGGAGATGGGGACAGCAGAGACAGGGGCTCCATAATCCCAGATTTACCTGCTGGGATGGAGACTGCAGGGAGCACAGCACTGCATCCCAGATTTACCTGCTGGGATGGGGACTGCAGGGAGCAGGAGCACTGCATCCCAGATTTACCTGCTGGGATGGGGCCAGCAGGGAGCAGGAGCACTGCTGGTTTATCTCCTTCACTGCACATCACTCCTCGTCTCTTCCAAGAGCCCAGATGTGCTGAATTTCCACCCTGGAGACCCTTTCCAGAGGCAGCCAGGCTCCCAAACAACCCTGGAGCTCGGGGAGGAGCTGTGATTGTCCTGGTCAGGCAGGATTCACAGCCAGCTGCACAACACCAGGCAAAGGGAGCTGTGACAACTGAGGAGTTCTGGGAGGGGAAGGACTTTAAACACGCATTCCACCAGCTGGAGCAGAGGCAAAGTTGGAATCAAGACAGGCAGAGGCAAGACTAAATGGATGAAAACGGGCATTTTGGATGTGAAAAGTGGTGTGGTTTTGGATGCAAACTGCTTTTGGTTTCACACTAAAGCCTACAAAGACAATTGTTCCACCTGGTCAGAGATTTTAGGAAAGCCTAAGGAACTCCTGCCATCTCCAGAAGGAAGTAACTTGATTCCTGTTCAGAAAAATAAGAGTCCTGCTGGATAAATATGCAGTTGGTGAATATGATGTGGAATACATGGACTAAAAATGGACATGCACAAGTGATAAGTGGTGATACTGAGCTGTGTGCTGTGCTTTTCACCCCAGCAATGCACAATGTCACCCAAATCCTCCCTCAGAAGGAGCAATGCTGCAGTTAAAGTTCGTAGCAAGTCACACTTGCAGTGACTAAACACTCAAAATCAATATTCTAAGTTAGGATAAACTTAGTTCATACTTATTCCTCTGGATTAAGTATTTTGAGTACTAACTTTTTCCCCCCCCCTCATGATTCCTAGAAAACAGCAGACTCTCCAGGATGAATACACTGCTCAGCCTTAAGGAAAACTACTGGGAAATACCTACATAGCCCCAGCTCTTGGGCTTTCACTAACAATCATTCTGTCTCTGTAACAAGTGCTGGTGATAAATACAACTGAGGGTCACAGGCCAGCACTTGCTCCATGCCTGGAATGGGAGAGTTTGACACAAATTTCATTTGTCATTAATACGTATTTGGCACAGAGTTTAAACTTGTTATTTTTAAGTGATGTTTAGGGAAAAGTTGGGAATTTAACCAATTAAACACAACAGCATTAACATCACTGTTGTGTTGGGGCATTTTTTGCTCAAGACCACCTGAAACAGTGAAATTGGTGATTTTCAGTCAGAACTACCACGGATTCTAGAGGATAAACCTGGAAAAAAGGCTGCAGTGCATTTTCTGATCTTAAAGCTTGTTCTTAATTCACAGAACTATGTATTATTAAAAAAAAATAAATTAGATTTTCATCTTGTAAACAGAAATATGGAAATTACGAGGACTCACAGCACTTGACTTTGTGTTCATCCAGTGGGTCTATTAATTGGTGAGGGTGGAGATTTGCACAACCAAAAAGGGACTGTGCCACTTGAAACACCCCAGGAGCTCACACTGGCAGAATTATTCAAACCACTACCCAGAGTTAGCCCAATTCATGATTCAGCTGAAGGATATTCACCCAGGACAGCTGAAAGGCTACCTCAGGAGACATTACACTGTAAAACATCCCTGTGTTCCAAGCTCAGACTCCTTGGGAATCTCTTCCATGAGCAGGTTAAGGAAATGGTTTTGCCACATTTCCCTCAGCCAGGAAATGTCCATCAGCCAGGCAGCACTGCAGCACCAGAGTTAAGAGATCCTACACAGCAGACAGGACCTGCTGGACTATGGAGAAGCAGCTTTACACTCCTGGTTTTTATTCCCCCCCAGGCCTGGGAAGCAAGAGCTGCTTTAGCCCCCCTGGAACAGCACAAAGGTAGCAGGGACAGGGCTCCTTGCTCGTGTCAGAAATCAAGAATATCACAGCCTCCTGCCAATCCTCTCTGTCTGAATGGGCTGCCCTCTCCCTCACTGACTTTTTTCCTGGGAACAGAGGTGACAGAGGACAGGAATCCCTGGCTGCTCTCCCCCCTGGCACCTTGTTGCTCCTGGAGCACCTTGAAGCCGCGGCAGCAAGCGGGAACAGCCCCAGGGGGAGGCGGTTTGGGAAACCAGCAGCTCCCAGGGAATGAACTGGGAAACCCAAAAATCCCTTGCAGGGCTCAATTCAACAGGTTCAGACATTATTTCCTGCACCAAGTCTCCCTGTGTTTAACCTTCTGCTTAAGCCTCCGTGCTTGTCTTTGTGCAGCAGCTCACTCAACGTCAGCACGTTTGATCTGCTTCCCAAATCCCAAACCTTCCAGGGACACGGCAAAAGCGCTGATCCTCAGCGCTGGCAAGTCAGAGATTTTCATAAACCATCCAAGGTGCAACAAAGAAAAGGCAAGGACAAGTGACAGACCTGCAGCAATCCTTCAGAAAACAGTCCTGTACACGTTGGATTTAATCAGGGTGTGGGAGCAGCAACTCCCATGGACCAAGCAATATTGAAGCTTGCATTACAAACAAACCTTGCCTCACAATATTCCACATGGGTGAGGCACAGGAAAAGGGAGCCAGACTTGGTTCAGTGGGGATCAAAATGGTTGCCATGGAAAGTGGCTGCGGAGAGCTCAATAAATTCTCCCAAAGCCCATATTTTCAATGGCCAACATTTGCAAATAAAACCGAGGGGAAAAAAACAAACCTGTGCCTCGGTGCAGAAACATCCCTTACGTGCTCTCCCATTCCTCCATAAACAGAAATAAATATCACTATTCATAGCTGCCACAGGTAGCCTGAGTTTATTGAGTCCCCCCAGTGAAGGACACACAAGCCATCAATGAAGGAATGCATGTAAAACATCCCTGATTATCAAACCATGTCACATTCCTTCTATTCGATGGCACTTATTGGGCTGCAGATTCCATAATCCCTCCCTGAGTCCCTTCTGCATTTAATTCAGTTCAGCCTTAAGTAGTTAAAGAAACTGTTTTCAGTGGCAACTAATAACTACTGACCTACAGTGACACTGCCCTACAATGGGCTTGTCAGCCCTGAAAAACTTGTACCAAAGAAGCTGATTAGGACTTCAAGAGGTTTGTAGCAAGAATCAATGGCTGGTCTGTACTAATGCTGCGGCTGCAGCACAGAAATGATAAAAGTGGAACACCATTAGTTATGCCTCATTAAGCTCCACAGCCCTCCTAAAAAGAAATTTGTTTAGCCTGTCCAAAAATCTAATGCAGTTTTAAGCTCTCTGTGTCCAATTTCATGGTATCTCAAAAGCCTCAATAAGATGAAGGCCAAAGAACCAAGAACGGTACCAAAGCACCAACAGTAAAGTTAATTTTGAAGCCTGAGTTTTAATGGAAAGTGTTTTTGCCTGTTTTTTTTTTTTTTTAATTCAAACTACTCGAGCCTTTTAAAGGATGAACGCCACGTAGTGTGCTCTCAAAATATAAATATTTAAGACATTATTTAAGTTAAAAAACCTGCCGTACAGCAGGATTCCAACAAATTTAAACGGCAACGTTCCAAAACAAAGGAGGGGGAAAAAAAACAAACGTTGGGAAGGCTGGCAGAGCCCAGTCCACCCTCCTGGGCAGGAATCACAGAGCTGCCACCCCTCCTGCCTTACCTCTGTGGTGTCTGCTGGAACAAGGGCGTGGGGCCTCGCCAGGACTCCTGCGGCCGAAGGTCTGGAGGGGGAAAAACAGAGTGGTAAAATAAGAAAGAGCAAGTGGAACAATTCAAGAGCCTGGGTGTGCTTTTAAGGAGCCAAACAGAAAAAGCCCAGGCTGGATATGCCACAAACACACTCCCAAGCCATCAGCTCCTGCTGCCTGTTTGGACAGAGCCCTGCTGGGAGCTGATAAAAGGCAACCCTTTTTGGTTTTCAGTGCGCCCAACAGGCTTCAGGTGATAAGAATAATGAACTGGAATCGCCAGGACTGCTCTGGTCAGTGCTTGGACTCCTCACAGGTGTCTCCTATTGGATTTTTAAAGATGCATAACCTTGCCTGTTACCCTAACAATTTAATCTCCCAAGTACACTCATCACTCCATAAAAAACACAGACACACCCCCCCCTGCTGTATCATCACCACAACACAACATGTTTGTGAGCCACAAATGTGTAATAGTCTAAATATTTAGGCTTTTGGCAGGTTTGGGAAATTGGCCAGTTTCCCTTTGATTGGGCTAAGTTATTCCATAAAGGAAACTACAAGAATGACCAGGGCATGGAATAAAGTGAACAGTCCCACTTTATTCACGTTTAAATAAAGTTATATTTAGGATACAAAACATAAAGGATTCAATAATATAAAATAGAAACATATTATCAGTAATGATGGTAAAGGAGTTAACTTAGTCGACGATCATATAACAATAAAAAAAAAAAAATCTATTAATGACCTCTGAGATAATGGAATCAGGCTGAATTAAGCCTTTTTTTGGGTAAAAAAACTTGGCCAGAGCCCCAGCGCCGCAGCACGGGAGACCACCCACTTCTCCATTGTCCCCTCCACCCAAACCAGCCCTTCACAAAGGCGAGGCAGGGCCGGCACTGCTCTGACAGGACACGCAATTAAACGGTTGTTGTCCCTCCAAATAACCTGGTCAGCAAACAGGATAAAAGCAGCAGCCCCTCAATGGCGCCCGGGCAGCGGCTGCAGCTCCACTGACACCTTTGATGGCTTTCAATGGGCCCTCGAGTGGGACCCTCATTCCAACAGCTGCTTCCAGAGGCTGGAGAGAGGCCAGGCCGGGACACGGACACCCCGGCACGCCGCCGAGGGGTGAGCACACGGGAGACAATTCCAAAGGGAAGGAGGGGGAAAAAGAAATAAATAAATCTGTGCCTGTCTCCCGGCTCTGTCCCGGGCAGGAATCTCTCTCTCCGTGTGCAGGGCAGAGCGTGGGCAACCCCCAGCAAGGAGAACACGGGATAAAATCCCCATCCCCGGCGGTTCCTGCTGGAGCAAAGCCAGTCCAGCCCACAATTCTTTATTTGTACCCCATGTAGAGTGGTTTATTAAACATAACATCTGTATACACACAACTAAACAGCCAATAAATAAACCTCTCTCTGTACACGCACCCAGATACACGCACTGATGCACTCAGCAGGTACAATCGGTTATTTTCCACCCAGTTTCCAACCAAACCAGCCTAAGGCACGCCCAGGACTGAAGATGGATGTGTGGCACTTTCCTCCTGGCCAGGCCTTTCCATGCCCAAACAGGCTGTGCCCACACAATGCCATGTTTGCTTTGGAATACAAGGGGAGGGCAGCACAGGAGAACCCACAGTGCTGCCCCGGGGGAAACGAGCAATTAACACACCGTGTTCAACAGGAGCTTTGAAAAAAACCTACAAAGACAAAAGTGCTAAAAAACCCATAACATTTTAAGTTTGGGACACCCCAAGAGTGTCACTGCTTTCAACCAAAAATACCCTGAGATGACTGTTTCTAATAATTCCCAAGTTTCATAGACAGCAGCACCCCAGAAACACAGCAGAGCTGAGCTCTGCTCGTCATGTTTCCAGACCCTTCCTTTCCATGTCAACAAGAAAGGACCCAGCTCTCCTGCTGTAACCACACCTCTCTGCAGCTCTAGGGAACAGTTTAAGAAAGAGTTTAATGAAATCATCATAAAAACATTTAAATCCACCTTATTACTATTCATTTGTGTGGCTGGCAGAACGATCTTTGAGGGAAAGAGCTTGGAGCAGTGAATTGCACTTCAAAAAGACACCAAATGGGAGAAGAAATGACAATTAATGTTTTCTTTAGGCTGCAAAACTTAGGCACTTCCTGAGCTATAAGGCCAAAGAAACTGCCTTCTCTAGTAGCTCCTCAAGTAACAATTTACCTAATCAGGGTGGCAATCAAAGGCAAGATTTTGTGTTTACTGATTGCACTAATCAAGATCACTTTTCCCACGCAGCTAATTGACAAGTTTACCGTCTGCAGAGAAAGTCACAAATCAGATTGTCCTGCGCTGCAGAAACCAAACCTGCCATTCCCAGAGCGCTGCCACCCCGCACTTGACTGCCCAAGTTATCAGCAGAGACAATCATTCATCAGCTGAAAATTGGCACATCCGAGTGAAATCAGGGAGCACCGGGCGAGGAACACCCCCAGCCGGCTCTCGAGGGAGAGGTGGCACTCGGTGTGACTGCATCGCCCTTCGGGGGCTGATTGTGCTGCAGCCTACACAGGGACACGCCAGACAGCAAATGGAAAGTTGCTCTCCCCTGATCCCACAAAATGTGGGAGTTTTAACCACGCCAGCTGCAGTTTTTCAGGAATGTGTGGGTTCCATGCGCTTCCCGGCCCAACTGTGCCACAGCGGACAGTGGTTCTCCCACAGCTGGGGTATGGCCCATTCCCAAACACATCCCAAAAGGCTGATCCCAGCAGGAATGCTGGGCTATGACACCTGGAGGCGACCTCTAACAAGGGTCTAAGGAATTGTCTCTCCTTGGTAGAAGAGCAGTTGAGACCCGTGTGCTTCACTCCTCAGGTGGGCTGGGGGCTGACCCACCAGCCAGGCTCCGGGATGTGTTCTGGGAAGTCCTTCTAGGGAGCAAGAACATCCCTCACGCTGTCTGCATCCATCCTGCTGATGGACACGAGCTGCCCTCACAGCTCTGTTAAACAAGGAGGCACTGAAAGCAAGCCCATCTCCAAACACAGAGTCAAGCGCTGCCGTAATTAGCCGTTGAGACTTCACGCTGCAGTCAGTGTAAATTAGAAGTTAATTAGAGTTTAAGACTAATCTCCTAGGACAGCTCGGCGCTGTCAGAAGAGGAGGAGAAACACAAGCCAGTGAAGTGCCAAGGAACACATTTGCAGCGTGCTGCACTGCCGTCCCCCACGAAAACAGATCCAGGAACTGGCTCCGGACAGCGGCGGCTGGATGAGAGCTTTGTGAGTGCCTCCTTGGCAGGATCAGCTCCAGGGACAGGAGACAGAGAGAGCAGCTTTCCCACAGAGTGCCAAGACTTGACAGGAACAGCAGTACAGGGACTGCTGGGCTCCTGAAAACTTTCTCCCCAAAGCCACACCAACTTTCTGATTTTGGAGAGGAACGTGAAAAGGTGATGCCTGTCTGGTGGTTCTGCCTTCTCGTGTTTCTTGTTTGTTTAAAAAAAAAAAAAAAAAAAAAAGGTTTTCCTTTAACCCAAGTTAATCCCTCCAGGCTCATATTCAACCCACCTCTCTACTTAAACCAATCTGGTTGCTTGCACAAGAAATCAGCACTCACCACTCAACTTCCCTTCCTCTGCTCTGGGACTGGACACTGAGTTTCAGTCAGTGGCCACTGATATTATTTATTGGCTGTCTGATATTCAGCAAAGATGCCAGCGGGATACAGAGAGGGTGACAGCTTCACTGGGCAGCAACTAGTCTAGATGGGACAAAAACTCTGGAGCTCAAACTTCATCTGTGTCAGCTCTTCAGGTGTCCAACACTTGCAGAATTCAGTACTGCAGGATTTCACACTCCTTAGGCAGTTGAACCAAGTGTCCTCCTGTCTCAACCCCACCTGAGCACAGGTGAAGAGGCAGAGTTCCTGACCAGCACCCTTTTTGAAGAGCACAAGCAGTTCCTTCCCGGGGTGAAGAACTCCATTTTGGGTCACACAGGGTTTACTGCTGATGCTGAGATCCCACCACAGATGGAATAAGTAACAGACACCAGGAACCCTTGGTATGGGTGGGTTTTACAGTGCTACTTTTGCTATTCCATTTGAATCCAGAGCACAATATTCCAACTGTAATCCCACTTGCAGGCACTCTGCTCCATTTCAGCACATTTCCCTTACAGCAATCCCACAAAGGAGGAGCAACAGAGAGGAGCAACAGAGAGGAGCAACAGAGAGGAGCAA